TAAGCAACGTGGAGGATAGGATATGGAATATAGGATTGAAAAATACCCATTAGATGAGGAAAGAGGGGGAAAAAAGTTAATATTGAAAAAAGAGTAAAGAAAGCCTATGGGAAGATGGGGCACAACTACAAGAAATGATTTAAATATTTCAGGATTATTTATTCTAGCTCTGTGAAGAATGCTCATGCTATTTTGGTAGGGATTGCACTGAAAGTGTTGACTTTGCTGGGTGCTTTTGATATTTTAACCATATTTGTTCTTCCAATATGTGAGTTTGGAATGTTTTTCCACGGCTTTGTGTGTTCTTCAATTTCTTTCTGAAATCTTCTCATTTTCCATGGTATGTATCTTTTACGTCTTTGGTTAGTTTCATACGTATGTATAACATTTCTAGGAAAAAGGGGGTGTCCTGCTCAAATTGTCCATGCAATGAGATGACACGGGTCTGGGGCCAAGAGACCTGCATTCAAGAGGGGGCCTTCAAGACACAGTTGCCTCTCCTTCTCTTTCCCAACTCAGCTTGTTACATGTCCCCTTTGGAAAGTTCAGGAAGCAGAACACCATCCCCTAGAGAGCTTTGTTCCTGCATCCTGAGATCCCCAGAGAATGAGGGAAGAGGGAGATGATTGAGACTAGTGCTTAGAGAGTTTTTGAGCTAAGAATAGCTCTAGGTGGTGGTGCGTAGGTCCTCCCAGTGAACCCAAGCTTGCCCACCAGCCCATCCTGGGCGACCCCAAGGACGGTGGGTAAAGAAAAGCCCACCCCACTGGAGCCTGCCCCAGCTCCGTCAAGAAGAAAAGCAGGTTGGACCGAGCACCAGGTAGCCTGAGCATTGGGGAGGTCCACCGGGAGGTGCGAGACCACACAGCTTAGCACATATGGAGGGAACCTGGAAAAGCTTTCCAAGACCAGAGAGATCATCAGTGAGCGATCAGAACCTCTGATACAGAGCCTCCTCCTCAGTGCAGGAGTGGGGCCCAAGACAAATACAAACACAATGTTGACCTGCCTCAAGGTCAGTGGTGGGAACCTCTAAGCTGATCTCCACCATGATCTCCTATCTTCATGGCTTTGTAGAATCCCGTTCCCGGGAGTGACTAATGGACTATGGCGGCAATGATGAAATGTCCAAGAATTCCGAAATGAGGTGATGACAGGTCTGCAGCTTCTGTCTCATAAACCCTCTGTGTTCATTGGCTCTCTGTCTCCTTAATCTCTCTCTCTCTCTCTCTCTCTCTCTCTCACTCTCTCACTCTCTCTCTCTCTCTGTGTGTGTCTCTGTTCTTCTCTCTGTAGTAGCCATATAAAGTTGAACCTGCTGGGGAGGCCCTCAGGAATCCTAGACCACGCGGAGGAGAACCTAGGCAGTCTGCAATGACTGCCGGCCATGTATGTGCACCATCTTGGGAGGAAGTCCTTCAGCCCCAGGCCAGGTTCCAGGAGATGCATCCCGGCTGCCGCCTTGACAACCACGTCAGGAGAGGCCCTACCCAGGACCAGACACCTACCCCTGCTCCTGGATTTCTGACCTCAGCAACTGGAAGGTAAACAGCCTGGTTTGAGCCACTCAGAATCGGAGCCCTTGGTTGCACTGTCACGGATTAGGGATGCTCCCTGGAGCCAAGGCCCAGGCTCTGGGTGGTGCTGGCTGGTCCCCTGGCTGGGGCTTTCAGTTGGTGGAGGCCGCTATTGCCTGAGGCCCTGGGGACAGGGAGAAGCCTGGTGTTGGTGAAGGCCCTGCGGAGGGACAGTGGGGCTGTGTGTTCCCTGGGGGACAGAAGCACCCTGCAGAAAGGTCCGGGTCCAGAAGCGCTGCGTTGGTGAAGGAGCTCGCAGCACGGGTCAGAGGAGCGAGGTGCAGCAGCGACGGAGAGTCTGGGGATGCAGGGGACAGAGGGGGCCTGTAGGGGACAGGGTGGAACCAGAGGAGAAGCAGGAGCCACAGAAGGCCTGGATATGCAGGGGGACTGAGGCCAACAGGGAGCAGCCAGAGGAGGAGGAGGAGGAAGGGGAGGGG